CTAAACATAAAAATTAAAAAATCAGGAGTGGGAGGGCATGATGGCTCATGCCTATAATCTCAGCACTTTGGGAGGCCGAGGAGGGTGGTTCACAAGGTCAAGAGATCGAGACCATCCTGGCCAACAAGGTGAAACCTGTCTCTGCTAAAAACACACACACACAAAATTAGCCAGGCGTTTGGCACGCACTTGTAGTCCAGCTACTTGGGAGGCTGAGGCGGAAGTACTGCTTGAACCTAGGAGGTGGAGTTTGCAGTGAGCCGAGACTGCGCCACTGTGCTCCAGCCTGGCGACAGAGCAAGACTCCATCTCAAAAAAAAAGAAAAAATCAGGAGTGGTGGTGCATGCCTGTCATCCTAGCTACCTAGGAGGCTGAGGTGGTAGGATCACTTAAGCCCAGAAGGTTGAGGTTGCAGTGAGCTGTGTTCATGCTACTGCACAACAGCCTGGGGTACACAGCGAGACCCTGTCTCAAAAAAAAAAAAAGAAAAAGAAAATAGAAAATATGTTCTAACTGTACTATGACATATGAAGGAGATAAAGAGAACTTATGTGTGTACTGTCTGTGTTGGGGGAGGACACAGAGTGGGTGGAAAGCTAAATCCTCACAGTTCACGATAGCAAATCAATAGAAAATAGTTAACATAGAAAATCAAAGCATATTCTTTTTTACTATGGATCTAGAATATAGAATTTACAAAAGAAGCAATTAATAACATTGAAAATGGTTGACAAAAGACCTGGAAGGAAGAGTAAAAGAGGTGACACAGATTTTCTTTTTATAAGCTTTATTGACTCTTTTAAAAAGTACATAACTTAGAAAAATAAAATTAAGAATTAAAATACACAACTTAAATTTCCAAACATAAAAATATTTTCAGATGAAACTTTTTTTAATGGAAAATAAAGCTTCAAAAAAGCAATTTCTCTCTATTACCTGTAACTATTAAACTTTAAATGATTATAACAGAAAGCCAGGATACCTCAGTAATGGGTCCTTCTCTTGTACCTCGGAGAAGAATCATTTCATCAGAAGTCAGTTGGAACTTGGATAAGAAGGCATCTGCAACTTGTGCTCTTATTTCTAATTTTTGGCTGTAAGTTTCAAAACAAACAACAAAATCAAGCATCCTATGCAGTTACATAGCTTTAAAATGAATTCTATCTCAGACATAACTTTTAAAAACAAAGGTATGAAAAATTTTCAACATTTTCAAAAATCTTGTTTCTGCCTCAAATATTAGAATTTTACCAGACATGTAGGTGATAAAATTAGCTAATATTGTTCTATTTCAGATAACTGCACATGATAAATGGAGTTGATCATTATGCAAAAGAAAAAATAAGTCCATGCATGGTCCCTCCATTACAAATTTACAGCTACTTACAAGTACTTAAATAGTTTACCTTGCAGTTTGCTAGATTGCCTTTACAAGAGAGACATATGTACCTATTTACAACCAATTTCTTTTCAGTCACTAAAACAATTCCTAAGCCTTTAAAGTTTTCACATGAAGTACATATCAAAAATCAAATTAGTTTATTTTATGTTGGAAAGAGAAGAGCTTTGTTAATTATCCATAAATTGCTAAAATCACTTATCGACTTTGGTCTTCTCCACTTTTTCTACAAAACATAGTTATAAAAAAACCTCTTAAATTATATTTTCTGAATCCAACCTACCTAAACTAGCTGAGAGTTAGAAAAAGGCACAGTCAAGGACCTATGGGACTGAGCAGAATCAGTATCAATACCTACAGGCCAGTTAGCAACATGAACTACTTGAACAGAAACTCAACATTCCTGGTTTCTGTATCTCAGAACTGAAAACAAATAAAATTATAAAAGTATTTCACTAGTAATTATCAGAGGATAGTAATATTCCACAATTAAATAAAACTCAAATAAGAATTTAAAAAAACATAAACACTATTTGTATAGATGGAACAATGCATCTCCCATCTCTGTTTGATTTGCACCTTTGGGATGGGAGGTTTTAAATTCAAAGTTGAATGCTCCTACTGAATAAAGACACTTACAAGGAAAAATCCTCCAGGTGGCAGCAAAGTTCTGTTTATTTCAAATGATAAATCACCCAATTGAGTCTAAACAGATTTAAATATGTTGTTAATCATCCTATTACTGATATCTGAAAGTTACCTTAATATTCATCTTATTTTTGCTTTGTTACCTGTGCTTTCGAAGTCTTATTTAAAAAATCTTTGCCCCAGTGCAATTTCGTGAAACAATTCTCCTATATTTTTTCTGGTAGTTATATAATTTGGGGTTGTATATTTTACTCTTTAATCCATTTAGAGTTTATATTTATATATGGTGAGAGGTAAGGGTCTAGTTTCATTCTTCTTTATGTAGCTACCTAGTCTTTCCAACACCACTTATTGAAGACACTGTCTTTTCCCCAATGTGTGTTCTTGGTGCCTTTTTTGAAAATCTGTTGGGTGTAAATGCATGAATTTATTTTTGGGCTCTCTAATCTGTCCCATTGGTCTACGTGTTTTTACACCAGTACCATGCTGTTTTGTAGTATATTTTGAAGTCAGGTAGTGTATAATGCCTCCAGCTTTCTTCTTTTTGCTCAAGATTGCTTTGATTATCCAGGTTCTTTTGCATTTCTATATGAATTGTAAGATTTTTTTCTATTTCTGTGCAGAATGTCACTGATATTTTAGAAGAATAATGTGTTGTGGGAGTATAAAGAAGAAACTAATTTTTTTTTTTTTCTGGTGACTGAGTAAAGGTTCCTGGGTGAACATGGAAAACAGCCAGATAATAAAACTGTGAAGTACAAAAGTGTAATAAATTTCATATAAGCTGAAGTATTTTTCAAAGTAAGAAAGACTTTCTTTGAAACATATATATGTACATACATATATACATTCTCAAGGAACATGTACATGCATGTGTGACACACACATACACACACAATAGCCTAAAATTCTGAAATTTTGTAAAATATTCTGAAATATATGATGGGCATAAACAACAGATGGAACCTTAAAGGACAAATGAGTTTTCAACAAATGAATTTTGGGAAATGGAATTCTAGGTAGAATGAACGAGAATGTAGAAAAAGTCTATCTAGTTGATAAATGTAGTTAAATCAGGAAATAAACAGCAATAGCCACTTTAAATGAAGTGTGCCCACAAAAAAAAAAAAAAAAAAAAAAAAAAAAAAAAAAAAAAAAAAAATGAAACCTTTTCTTGTTATTCAACATTTTGAGAGGTTTCATAATTCTGTCAGTCAGTTTGAAAAGGATGGTATACTTTTAAATATTAATTAGATGAAAAAATAAGCAATTTCTAATTCAAGGAAAGACACATAATTATAAAAGAAAGAACATGCAATCACTGTAATGTCATTGTAATGAAAATGGAAAATGTATGGCTAGGTTCCATGGCTCAGACCTATAGTCCAAGCACTTTGGTAGGCCAAGGTATCACCTGAGCTCAGGAGTTTAAGACCAGACCAGGCAACACAGGGAGATCCTGTCTCTANAAAGGGAAAAAAGTTCTTTTGTATTGATGGGGGAAATTCAATCAGACAAAATTTTCATTAAAAAAACATCCATCCATCTCCAAACCCAATTTTTGAAATACTTACTTCCAAAGATTATTTCCAAATTTTTCCTGATACTGTTTCCCTTAGAGCATGTTCATCATAATCACAAGAAAGGTATAAGCCATACTATGCCTTAACCTCAAATTTTCATTTCCAGTCCAATATATGTGACTGAAATAAAATTATTATAGCTTGTCTGAGCTAGACCCCAGCATGTCACTGGTAATACCTTCTTTTGGATTGTTCAGATATTGCTACAATGTACAAATGAGAGAGAAGAAAGAAGGAAGGAGATGTGATGTTCCCCTGCTTTTTTATTAGTAATGCTTCTGTAATGTATTTTTCCATGCAATATAAAACCATCTATCCAAGATAAAGTTTTATATTTTTATGCCATCAATTTCAAAACCTGAGTTAATGTAGTTACAAAGTAATTAAAGTTAATTAAAACTATTAAAAACTAAAATAGTAAGAAATAAAGGGAAAGGCTGAGAAAGTAAATAATACAGCTGAGGAAAGCTATTGCAATTAAGCACAAAATAGTTCTAAGCTTCCTAGTCGCCAGAGCAAAAGCAGAAATAAAATGTGTAACATAGATTTCTTTGTGCAATAAAAGGGGAGGAGAAGGGAGGGGTAACATTCTTTAATGTATGTCGTGCAGCGTGTTCAGCAACTTACATAAAACATTTAGTCATCTCAAAAACCCCGTGACATAGATATTTTTCCCTTCCTTCTTTCAGACATAAAAACTTAGGCTAAGGAAAGTTAAGAAATAACAGTACAAAATAAAAAATCTAATAATCTCTTACCCAAGGTTTTGATTAAAATTCAGGTTTTTGTCTTAATTCCTATATTCTTTCCATTTTCACATATTGAACTTAAAAAAATATATACACATAAACATTCTCCAGAGATTATTTTTCTGAGTCCAGAGATAAATCTTATAAGAGATAATAAAAATATAATAGTGATTTCAGTAGTATTTTAAAAATACAAAGGTATGTTCATGTACATATAGCCTTTCCTGATCATCAATAAAACCCATCTTCTGACTACCAATGAAATATTAAAGGGAAATGCTAACCTACAGTCCTGTGAAGAAAATGCTACATTGAGCTTTATCAATTAGAGCATCTCAGCTGTCCTGATGACCGACTTCCTTCCAACCCAGTTCAGAAAATATTCATATCATTTATACATTTGTCTGAATAAGAATATATTACTCAAGTAATCCCACAGTATTTCTATTTCTAAAGCTATCTTCGTGTTTAATGAAGTTTCTTGTTAAAAAGATAATATTTTAAAATGAAAAAACAACTCCCTGCCAGCCCCTACAGACCGGTTATCATAATTTCTGATATGCAATTTTCCTAAAATATATTCACACAAATGTTCACTTGGCACATCATATCTATAGCTCTTGGGATACTAGAATGTCATGAATTTTCACTTCCCAAAAGCATATCAGCCCAAAACACTTCCATAGGCTTACTAAAATAATAAATATAAACCTTGCTTAGTTTTGAGAATACATGAACAGAAGCACAATGTTCTAATATTGTCTCCTGTATACATTACTTAGAGCCCCATATTACAAGCTTCAATATACAATGCTTATTTTTCAGTTTTCACTTTATATTCCTTTCCTGACCTTATAGTTGCTTTCATATTCATTTACTCAAAAATTACTTATTGAATCTGTAAAATACCAGGCACTGCAAATACAAAAAAAGAGCATAAGAAATTGTCACTGTTCTCAAGGAGTTCATGGTTTAGGAGAAAAAAAGACAATCAAATCAACAATTGTAAACAGCTGTAATACACATTACACTAAAGACGAAAACAAAAGCATTCAATTGAGAACAGGAAAAGTTTAAATAAGCTTTGCATACAGGATTGCTGATCTGTTATCTTGGTTTTAGTCGCAATTTTCATTAAAATAATGTTTGTTTTTGTGTTCAGCATTAACCTAAGAATTCACGTCAAGGTTTCTAATAGGGAATGTTTTTCTAGAAAACTTTTCTTTCAAAAGAACTGTTATAATATAAAATGCAATCTAATTTTATGGTGAAGGCACAGGCTTAATTCTGATAAAAAAAATTTAATATTGCCTCTCCTCACAGAGCTGGCTGCTTTGCAGGGTCAACCATCCCTCCCATGGGCTTAGTCTACAACTTTTCTCACCACTGTCTACCCACCCCCAGGAGAGTTATTTGTGGTGATGGAACTGTACTATATCCTGACTATGGTGGTGCATTCAGGAATCTACATATGATAAAATAAAATCTATAAAAATATATACACACACCAGTGAGGTCAAGTAAAACTGCAAAATCTGAATAAGACAGGTAGATTGTATCAAGGTAATTATCCTAGCTGTGGTACCATAGTATAGCTCTGTAAAATGTTACCTTTGGCAGAAACAAGGTAAAGACTACCTTGGATCTCTGTATTATTTCTTACAACTGCATGTGAATCTATAATTATCTCAAAAAAAAAGATTAACTTTTAAAAAGTGAAAATGTGTTTTCAAGGAGATGAGAGAATTAAGGTGGGGGGAGAGGGACATAACACAAAAGAAATTAAAATATGAATAATATTTTGTCTAAGGCCAGGCCTTTCAAACTATAGTCTCTGGACCATTGCATAAAAATACCTGGATACTGTTAAAAGGGCAGAATCCTGAGCCTGAATCAAGATTTACTGAGTCATTAATCAAAAAACATAATTGTTTACTTTTTTCAGTCAGATTCTCTGAGGAGGAGGCCAAAACTTACCATTTTATCAAGCTCCTTGGTGGTTCTTATGTTTACTGGGATAAGGTGTGGGATACAGGAATGGTAACATAAAAGATTAGAAAGGAAAACTGAAATAAAAGATAGCTCCAATGACACCTAATATCAGACTAAATATTTCCAGTGATTTAAACAAAAAAGCTTTGAAGAACTAGTTGTTCAAATCCTAAGGGACAAAAAATTCTTGCTTATCATAAGTCAAAATTTGCCACTGGTAGATTTCTCCTTTAAAACGTAGTTCAAACTCAGCAGCAATACATAATAAAATTTAGCCCTTTTTTAAACGGGAAAGAACACCAAATATTTGAAGACAGCCATCATGTGCCTCTTAGTCCTACACTTCTAAATAAACAATTCTGATTTTTCTTAACCTACATCATTTTTTGAGCCTTTTATAATTCTATTCACCCTCTTGCCCAGCCCCGTTTTTTCTTAAGAGCTTGATTCTGTTGATACCTTACACTTAACATTCCATACTTTGTGTCATCAACAATTTTCCAAGTAAGTTGTCTATATATACTCTCAAGTCTTTGATTAAACGTTAAACATAAAAGGATTGGATTGAAGGTGCTCTGAAAAGTACTAGAAACTGACTTACAGGTCAACATGAAGTAATTAACCACCAATGTGAGGGTACAACTGTTTATCCAGCTATAAAATACAGGATGACAATATCGACAAGATAAAAGAGAATTTAAGGACAGACTTCCTAAAATTAATTTCTATCTGGGCAATTTCCAATTCTATAAATCTGAGAAAGACATCAACCTGCTCTCATTTTGGCTTGTACAAACCACAAAATGAGTGAAAGTGGATTTTAGTGAAAGAGACAATAGCTAGTAAAAAAATGGGGATATAAATGCATGAAATTATGATTAAACTTTTATAAAGTTTTGATACTTAGTTTTTTTATGATTTTTCTCTGGCACGAAGAATAAAATCAAGAGACTATTTTATTTAGTATTCTATCTTTCAACTAGTCTTAAAAATTGAGCAATATTTTTATATTTTCCTGCTTCAAACCCTTTTTTCAAACAAAATCTTACATGGAATCCTATTATATTAAATGAGTAAAAGTGAAATTGCTCTAACTAAAATTAGAGTGAGAAAATCTGACCTCCAAAACTCTATTATCCTTCTACTTCTTACAAAGAAACCCTAAGGTTTAACGACCTGTAGTTTGAAAGCCACAGGTCTAAGACAAGGTACATGTTCCAAGTATCCAATAATGTATTTCCTATATGTGTAAAGAAAATGTTTGCTTCTTTTGTGCTATTAAAGATAGTATTTTAAAAATAATATTGGTACATATATTTTATTTTGCTGATTATGTCACATTTTCTCCATGTTTTTATAAGATAGAAAAGTAAGTTACATTCGTTACCATTTTAACTGCAATGGATCATTCCAGTTGATCTCTGAGTCCTTTGCAGCCCTAAGACCCATGATATCCTCTTAGACAAGTAAATTTACACCTCTGTACTCTTTATAATTTGCCTTTCATCAGTCTTAGTCTGAAGAGAATTGTGTTAAGAAGGATTAAGGGCTCAATATAAAAGAATGTCAAGATCAATGGATGTGAAGCTAAGGAGTTGGGGGTCATGCACTTGCCATGGGTCTAGGGCAGTGTTTTTCAAACTCTTGACTATGACCCATAATATTAAACCATTTAAAACCATTACCAGAAACGGAAAGAAAGACTTCAGAAAATAATATTCACCCAAATTATTTTTACTTATTTATTTTTAAGATATAGGGTCTCACTCTGTCACCCAGGCTGGAGTGCAGTGGCAGCATCATGGCTCACTGCAACCTTGAACTCCTGGGCTCAAATGATCTTCCCACCTCAACCTCCTAAATAGCTGGGACTTCAGGTGTGCACCACCATCAGGTGTGCACCACCCAGCTACCCAAACTATTTTCTATTTTATTTTATCCTAACTTATTTTTTAAGGCTAGTTATGATCTACTTAAATAATAATAATGATAGGTAAATCATAATTGGGAACCCATTGATCTTGATCTGAACTACAAAACACACCAGTTGCATCAGGAGTCACAGACTTTTTCTGTAAAAATCTTGATAGTACATATTTTAGGCTTTGTAAGGCACATATGTTCTCTGTTCTAACCACACAACTCTGCTACAGTATGGTGAAAGCAGCCAGAGACAGTATGTAAACACAACCATAGCTGTGTTCCAATAAAACTGGATTTACAAAAGTAGGTAGTGAGCTGGATTTGGCCTGTGGCCATAGTTTGATGACCTGTGGTCTATACTATAGTATATTCACCTACCCCAAAATGAGCAGTTAAAGTGGTAATGTCTCCATATTACTGATGACATACCTAGAATACTAAAAGGTTTAAGTGATGTACCCAACTACTGAGAAGGAGACAGGTATGCTGCATCATAGTATAATGCTTCTCCCCCTCTGTACTAGTGCACACATGAGAGATGCATGGTTAGTGAGTTTTAGCACAATTGCTATGAGTTTTAACAATATTAAACACAACACTTTACACAAACCCATACTGTACTCACCTTTATTCATTCAATCAACCAATAATATACCAATTGTATAAATTACGAGGAGAATTGATACAATTAAGTCTTAATTATACCAGAGAGGATAAATCCTAGCTTAAAAATAAAAGACAATGATTGCGAAAAAAATAGTAATAAAACTATTAAAACATGAAAACATTTAGATTTTAAAAAGCAATCATTTCTCAAATCCACAGCAAACAGTAACAATACATCATCACTTCTATTCCAAAAAAAAAATAATCTCTTAACCTCAATATCAAGTTTAATGCTCCTTTATGCGTAAGTGATTATTGGACAATATAATAGCTTAGGACCTTATGAATCATGTTTTTTATTATTCTGCTTTAATTTTGATTTAGAGTTATAATTTTCTTTGAATCCAATCTCCAAATTATTGAAAAGGTGGCTGTAAGAAAACAAACTTACCTTTCAGATTGAAGCTTAGTGGTTTTTACTATTAAATCTTGAGTCTGCTCCTTTGCTGCCTGAAATTATAAACATATCGAATATAAGTACATTCCAATTTTATGATATTTTAGAAAACAAATACTACCACTTACTGAAATTTAGACTTAAATGAGATCACTCTGTGAAATTCAAAAGAAAAGCATAAGAAAATGAAATATGTAGATGTTTCAAGGCTCATCCACTACTTTAATCGCAGGAACACACTCAGAATTCTTAATATACACATAATGCTAAGGCTTACAAGAAACAAAAAGGTATCCAGATGCTACGGAACTTAATAGTTCATGAAGTGTTTTAGTGCAACAGAAGCACTGAAAGAACAAGTTAAGAATAAAGGACATGACAGCACTTATGGACACGTTGAACTGAGATACCACGAGACCTCTACATGGGGTTGTAAACTAAGTCACTGAAATGCTAGTGTGGAGCATAATAGAAACGTGTAAGATGGAGGTAAAAGTTTGAGAGTTGTAATACACAAACTACCTGCCATATAAGGTTTTGGTGAGGATCAGAGCTAGTCCCATCTAAAGGACACAAGGCTGTACCTAACCAACTTTCATTCTAAGCAATGCTCCCTTTCTTAAGCCAGGGTTGAAAGGAACAAGAGCGCAAAATCAATTAAAAAAGGATTTTCTCCAAAGATTAGAAAACATTCATGAAGTGGCTTTAAAAAAAAGACAAGTGTGTAGCCAATGAGATTCTCTCTCAAAGATCTGAACCAGGGAATATTACAAAAATAAGGCAGTAAACAATGAGAAGAGAAGCAAGCAGTCATGAGGCAGGTAGAGAAATAGGGTCCACGCCTTGAAGGAATATTAAATGAGCCTGAAAGATGCATAAGTTAAGTCAGTAGTAAAGTAAACAAAAACAAAAAATAGAAGGTCAGCCTGTTAAAGAGAAAATACCAGAGCAAATACCTTAAGAAACTGGGTCATTTTCATGTGTGAACACCATAATAAAGAATCAAGCTTCTGCTGCTAAGGTTTCTTTCTAGAGCTGCCTCAGACCTAGACACCTCCAGTTCTGGGTTCTCAGAGGCCTAATCCTCTATAAACTCAGTTTTCAAACTGTGAGAGAAATTCTTTGTGTTACTGCTTTCTAGGTATCCTGTCAATAACAGAGTCAGATCACCACCTCAAATGAAGCTATTTTGAGTGTAAGTTCCTAGGAAATAGATTGTTTAAGAAAATAGATTTGAACCTAGATAATTCTGCATATCAATTATGTTTTGTTTTTTTTTTTTTTTTTTTAAGAGACAGGGTCTCACTCTGTCGTCTAGCCTGGAGTACAGTGGTTCAATCTTGAGTCACTGCAGTCTTGACCTCCTGGGCCCAAGCAACCCTCCCGCCTAAGGCTCTAGAATAGCTAGAACTATAGGCATGTGCCTCCATGTCTGGCTAACTTTTTAAAAGCTTTGGGTAGAGATGGGGTCTTGCTATATTGCCCAGTCTGTTCGTAAAGGATCCTTCTGCCTCAGCATCCCAAAATGCTGAAAGTACAAATGTGAGCCACCACGCCTGGCTATCTCACTGACTTTTAAGGAATGGGGTTCAACATGATAGTTCTAATGTAATCTTTTAGAATTATTAGACTGCCAATAACCTTTTCAAATGCTTATACTTCTTAAGCTTTAAAGTTTCATTTCCAACCTTGTACATTCCTGCCTTATACAATTTTTAAAATATAGTATTCCCTCAAGTCAAAGATATATTTACATTTTAATATTTCTGAAAAAAAGAATGCTTCATGAACGAGGGAATAGTATCAAAAAACATTTACTGGCTTTTTAGTCCAGTCATTATTGAGGGTGCACCTTACAATCAACGTCATTTATTAATCAGTGAAATATGATACTTTAACACAATGTTACGTAACAAAAATTTACAAATTTTTTTGCATATTTCTTGATTTCTTCATTTATAAGCTATGGTATGTATTCCAAAGTAATATTTAATAATATTAATGAAGATTATTATCTTCGATTTCCATTTATCATAAATGTTAAAGATGATTATTTTTCAATTAATAATAAACATATGCATCCAAATATAATTTATCCAAGCAAAATCACAAAGGAATAAACAATAACACATATAAAGCTATTGATTACATTTTAAATGTTTTCTAACAATTTCTAAAAGGTACCGTAGTCAAAGCATTTCAGAAAATATTAAATAATTAAATGAATCATTATAACAACATTCTATAAGAAAAAGGAAGAGTGAAGATACTCTAAGAAATACTTTCTTTATGAATAAATAACTCTAAACACATTAGAGTTGATATTATGAGCATATACCATTAGAATTCCAATAGCACTATATCCAAATAAATTAGCTTTAAGCAAAATTTGAAGGAATAAACAAAACTTTCAAAATCAGGGACCTCCTACTATTAGAAATAATATGTGGATCAAAAATGAATGTAAACAATAGGCAATATCAAATAATTTAAATATGCAATTAAAAACCTATGAGAGGCTCTTGTAGGTGATGAAAATGTTCTATATGTCTTGATTATGGTCATTTCACAGGTGTATAAAACTGTCAAAACTATCAGTTTGAACACTTTGAATGGATGCAGTTTATTACCATTCATAAATTATTCCTCAATAAAGGTGATCTGATAAAAGAATGAAAATAGGCCTATGCCACCATAGAAGAAAAAATAGGATGTGACGTAGGTACAAAGAAAATATAAAGGACTGGCCAGGCGTGGTGGCTCATGCCTGTAATGCCAGCACTTTGGGAGGCTGAGGCAGGCAGATCACTTGAGGTCTGGAGTTTGAGACCAGCCTAGAAACATGGAGAAATCCCGTCTCTACTAAAACTACAAAAATTAGCTGGGCATGGTGTCAGGTGCCTGCAATCCCAGCTATCTGGGAGGCTGATGCAGGAGAATTGCTTGAACCCAGAAGGTGGAGGTTGTAGTGAGCCAAGATCGTGCCACTGAGGATAGAGCAAGACTCTATCTCAAAAAAAAAAAAAAAAAAAAAAAAAAAAAAAAAAAAAAAAAATACAAAGGACAAAACAAAAGGAGACACTTGGGTTGTAATTTAAAATACTTATAAACTGTTTTAAAATAGCACAAAGAATAAAAATACTATCATTTTTTACATTTAAAACTACTATGATGAAAAGTATAAAAATATAATTAAAGTCAAATTAAAAAATAAGAGATACTACCACTAAAAATCGGAAACCGAGTAATCTAACAAAGCATACTATTACTTAAAAAACACCAAAGTACAATATAGAAAATCTTATAAAGCATAATTTGAGAAAAGTCATTAAGTCATGGAAGCTAAAAGATGAGAAAAGGAAAAAAAAAAGTTAAAGAAAAAGAAGGGAAAAACAAAATCAACCACTGAGGAACAAAGTAAATATGTGCCAAAAACGTAAAATGGCAAAAATAATTAGTATATATTATACAATTATTTAAATATTGTCAAATTAACAAATATCTAAAGATTGGACTAAGAGACAATAAGTCTGCCAATAATATCTGATAGGTTAGTAAGAATATCAAAATTTAGACAAGACCAGAAAAGACAAAATTTTAGAGAAACAAGAAATAAACTAGTCCTGCAAACTGATGCTGCAAGTAGCCTGTGATTAATCTGCAGACTATGCATAGATTAATGATTCTTCCGAGAATCACTATTGATGCCAATGGTTCCAGGAGACTCTTAGAGATAAAAGCTTGCTGTTAAAATGTGAAGGTAGTAGACATAATCATGATTGGCTCTTAGGAGAAAACTGTTCTATGTACTATTCCAAAATCAGATGAATGAGGGGAATTAAATCAAATGCTGATTCTGTAGCCAAATTATAAGTTTAGGATTGTTTTAATAAAAAGACCTAAAATAATACATATTTTGGCAGAATTGGTTTAGGCCATGCATAAGTCAGAAGTAAGTTGGGTCTTTATAAGGCACAGCTTTAGTGAAATTATTCCTAAGACTTCTTACTAAAAAAATCATTCCTCCTAGATTTCTAGAATACTATGGTATTGAAAGGTTTATCAAAATTCTACATAGTAAGCTCTGTACCAGCTAGACCAAAATATAAAGACTCTAAAGTTAATTGAACAACATTAATAAATCATTATCCAAAGAAACACAAAGATATCTACAATTTTAAAGAATAAGCATTATATTTATATCCAAATTTCCCACAGGGCATGATGGATTAGATACACATACATTTTGTAGAACTAATAATACCTGAAAGTTTACTTCATAGCAGAAACTATGCCAAAATCTAGCCATTATACAATACCTGTAGGCGACTTGTCATATCTTGACAACAGTTGCTCATTGCTTGAACATCTTCACTTATGCTTTCAAGTTCCTGAAAAGGAGAAAAGTAACATCAAATATCTTAGATACAGAAAGAAGATTCTCTTCTCTTAGCTAAATCCTTATTTTAGTTTCATAAATTTTTTTTGTCAAGGCATGACAAGAGATCCCATATTTAAAATTGGAAATTATTAAAAAGAATAACATCTAGTGTTAGAAAAAAACATAAAGAAAACAGTCCATTCCTTTTAGAGAATACGACCACAGGAAAATGGCAAATACTTTGTAAAAATGAATACATCTTTATTCTTAGTGTTATTCAATTGTAGTTATTCTTACTGACCATCAAATAGTCCTATCTTTGGCCAGTAGAATCCTCTTCACATTAGCTCCAAAGTCCTTTTGACATTTATCCAATAGTCTCAGATAGCATCTTTGCTTTCTGATACCGGTAAGATTGTTCCTTTCAGCAGGAAATGGTATTTAAAACAGCCAGGCATGGTGGCACGCACCTGCAGTCCCAGTTACTTGGAGGCTGAGGTGGAAGAATTGCTTGAGCCCAGGAGTTCAAGGCTGTAGTGTACTATGATCATATCTGAGAACAGCCACTGCACTCCAGCCTAGACAACAGAGCAAGTTTCCATCTCTAATGTAATTTAAAAAAAAAACTTTCTAAATTATTAGTCTTCAGTTAATAAAAACCTACCAAGCTGTTAAAAGCAATCTATTTTTATTAAACACTCATTGAAACCATGCGCAACACTTCCATAACTCACAGAAATATATTATTATAATATATTAATACAGTTAATAAAATATTACATCATAAATAAGATATAACATAAATAAAATTTATTTTCACCCTATGGTGAGTGGACTACACTCACAAGTGTGATGAATCATTAATACATTGAAGCTATTGATCTTAATCTGAAATTTTCATATTTTAGGATACAATAAAAGTAACTCAATTCTAATTAATCTCCAATAGAGAAGCTGTTACCCAAGAAAGGGGGATATTTCTACTGGAAAGCCATTCAGGGAAATGTTAATTTTTTTTTGTTAAAAAAGCTAAAGTTCCTAAGATAATCTTCTAGAACAATGTTACAACTTTCTAAGAACTAATATGTGTGGAAATTACCCATTAATACAAATAAAGACCCAGATGCAGCAAGAGACATTAGCTAAGTTTTCTATTTAGGCATAGTATATACATATAATATGATACATAGCAAATATATCAACCTAATTCAAAAAAATATATAGCACAGAGCTAGGCATATAGTAAGTTCTCAATATAAGCTAAGTGAAAAGAGTTTACGTACCTCCTTCACTTCCTTGAAAATGCTTACAAATTCTTCATTGATGGCTAAACTTTTACGCTCAATATCTCCACGTAAATTTCTTCGAGTCCGCAGAGTATTTTCAACAAAAAAGGTTGAAAGTGCCTTGAGAGCTTCTAACATCTCCTACACAATTAGTAACACAAGAAAGTTACTGGAACTAATTTTTAAAAGTTTCCCAAATCTCAAGACAAAATGTAATGATATCATTTTCAAATGATTTTTTATTAAGCAATCCAAAGAGATGGCCTACAGAAGCCAGCACCGGAATGCAGCTCCCAGCAAATGAGACGCTGAGGGCTAGAGGACTTCACAATTCCAAAAGAGGTGCTGGGTTCGTTTCTGTGGGACTGATAAGAGCACTGAAATTAGGCCCAGGGAAGGAGCCACAGGGCGAGAGCTGCCTGTGGGGCAAATCAAGACGGACGGTGGGGAGGCGTGTCCCCCGCCCCGAAACCGAGGGTCTCAACCCCCTCAGTGCTTCGTTTCGGATCCTGTGCTTACCTAATTCCTCCTGCAACCCCCGGTCCATGAGAGCCCTGCCAGACAGTGGGGCAACGTGGGCAGTCAATGCAAATCTGAGCAGCCCGGGTGCACCAAGTTGTTGCAGGGACCTGGGCGGGAGTTTGGACTAACGCCAGCAGGAGGGACCATCCCACAGAGGGAGGCAGAGTTGAAAGCGGGGAAACAGACCATAAGGCCTGGCAGGCCCCTCTTCCACAGAACTCAAACTGAAGCCCTGGCTAGAGAGCTTGGCAGCAAATACACCAGATTGACCCCAACCAGGAAGATCCAGCTGGGGAAAGAGAGACGCCATTTGGAACGCGGGGCCAATCTCACCTGCAAACAAACTCCAGGGAAGGACCACCCACTCAACAACCTGACTGAACCCGAAAGAGCCCAGCCACGCCCTCTACAGGCCAAAAAAGATATAGTTACAAACTCAATAGAAAAAAATTCCACTCAGAGACTCCTGAAATCACCAACGACAAAAATTAAAGGTAGATAAATTCACGAAGATGCAAAAAAAAAACCAACACAAAAAGGATGAAACCATCAAAGAACAGAACACCTCTTCTCCTCCCAGGGATCACAACTCCTCACCATCAAGGGAACAAAAAAAGAGAATGAATCTGACAAATTGACAGAAGCAGGCTTCAGAAGGTAGGTAATGACAAGCTTCTCTGAGTTAAAAGACCACGTTCTAACCCAATGCAAAGAAACTAGGAACCTTGAAAAAAGGTTAGACGAAATGCTAACTAGAATTTTTAACCAGCTTAGAGAAGAACATAAGCAACTTGATGGAGCTGAAAAACACAGTATGAGAACTTCATGAGGCATACACAAGTTTCAACATTTGATCAAGGAGAAGAAAGGATATCAGAGATAGAATATCACATCAATGAAATAAAATGAGAAGGCAAGATTAGAGAAAAAAGAGTGAAAAAAAAATGAACAAAGCCTCCAAGAACTATGGAATTATGTGAAAAAACCTAATCTACACTTGATCGGCGTACCTGAATGTGACAGGGAGAATGAATCCAAGTTGGAAAACACTCTTCAAGATATTATCCAAGAGAATGTTCCCAACCTAACAAGGTAGGCCAACATTCAAATCCAGGAAATACAGAGAACACCACAAAGATATTCCTCAAGAAGAGCAACCCCAAGGCACATAGTTGTCAGATTCACCAGGGTTGAAATGAAGGAAAAAATCCTAAGGGTAGCCAGAGAGAAAGGTCCAGTCACCCACAAAGGAAAGACCATCAGACTCACAGCAGATCTCTCAGCAGAAACCCTGCAAGCTAGAAGGGAGTGGGGGCCAATATTCAACATCTTTAAAGAAAAGAACTTTAACCCAGAATTTCATATCCAGCCAAACTAAGCTTCATAAGTGAAGGAGAAATAAAATCCTTTACAGAGAAGCAATTGCGGAGAGATTTCGTCACCACAAGACCTGCCTGACAGGAGCTACTGAAGGAAGTATTAAACAGGGAAAGGAACAACCAGGACCAGCCACTGCAAAAACGTACCAAATGGTAAAGAATAATGACACAATGAAGGAGCCACCTCAATTAATGGTCAAAAAAACCAGCAAGTAACAAAATGGTAGAATCAAATTCAAACATAACAATATGAATGTTGAATGTAAATGGCCTAAATGCCCCAATCAAAAGTCACAGACTGGCAAACTGGATAAAAAGTCAAGACCCATCAGTGTGCTGTATTCAGGAGACCCATCTCACATGCAAAGACTCAGACAGACTCAAAGGGATGGAAGAAGATTTACCAAGCAAATGGGGAACAAAATGGGGTAGCAATCATAGTCTCTGATAAAATGGACTTTAAACTAACAAAGATCAAAAGAAACAAAGAAGGGCATTATATAATAGTAAAAGGATCAATGCAACAAGAAGAGCTAACTATCCTAAATATTTATGCATCCAATGCAGGAGCACCCAGATCCATAAAGCAAGTTCTTAAAGGCCTACAAAGAGACTTAGGCTCTTGCACAATAATAGTGGGAGACTTTAACACTCCACTGACAGTACTGGACAGATCAATGGGACAGCAAGTCAAAAAGGATATCCAGGACTTGAACACAGATTTGGACCAAGCAGACCTAGAGGATATTTACAGGACACTCCACCCCAAATCCACAGAATATACATTCTTCTTAGCACCACACTGCACTTACTCTAAAATTGACCACATAATTGGATGCAAATCACTCCTCAGCAAATGCAAAAGAATGGAAATCATAACAGTCTCTCAGACCACAGCACAATCCAATTAGAATTCAGAATTAAGAAAAGCACTCAAAACCACACAATCACATGGAAACTGAACAACTTGCTCCCGAATGATGAATGGATAAACAATGAAATGAAGGCAGAAATAAAAATGTTCTTTAAAACCAATGAGAATGAAGACGCAAAGTACCAGATCCTATGGGACACATTTAAAGCAGTGTCTAGAGGGAAATTTATAGCAATAAATGCCCACATGAGAAACAAGGAAAGATCTAAAATTGACACCCTATCATCAAAATTGAAAGAGCTAGAGGAGCAAGATCAAAAAATCTCAAAAGCAAGCAGAAGACAAGAAATAACTAAGATCAGAGCAGAACTGAAGGAGACAGAGACACAAAAAACCCTTAAAAAAAATCAATAAACCCAGGAGCTGGTTTTTTGAAAAGATAAACAAAATAGACCACTATCTAGATGAATAAAAAGGAAAAGAGAGAAGAATTGAATAGATGCAATAAAAAACAATAAAGGGGAGATCACCACTGATTCCTTGGAAATACAAACTAACATCAGAGATTACTACAAACAACTCTATGCACATAAACCAGTAAATCTGGAAGAAATAGATAAATTCCTGGACACTTGCATACTCCCAAGACTAAGCCAAGAAGTTGAAACCATGAATAGACCAATAACAAGGTCTGAAGTTGAGGCAGCAATTAATACCCTAACGACCAAAAAAAAGGCCAGGTCCAGATGGGTTCACAGGTGAATTCTATGAGACATACAAAGGAGCTGGTACCATTCCTATTGAAACTATTCCAAACAATACCAAAAGACGGAATCCTCCCTAACTCTTCCTATGAAACCAACATCATCCTGATATCAAAATCTGGCAGAGATACAACTGAAAAAGAAAACTATAGGACAATATCCATGAGGAACATTGATGCAAAAATCTTCAATAAAATACTGGCAAACAGAATCCAACAGCACATCAAAAAGCTTATCCATCACGATCAAGTAGGCTTCAGCCCAGGGATGCAAGGCTGGTTGAACATATGCAAATCTATAAATGTAATTCACCACATAAACAGAACCAAAGACAAAATCGCATGATTATCTCAATAGATGCAGGGAAGGCCTTTGACAAAATTCAACAACCTTTATGCTAAAAACTCTCAATAAACTGGGTATTGATGGAACGTATCTCAAAACAATAAAAGCTATTTACGACAAACCCATAGCCAATATCATACTGAATGGGCAAAAATTAAAAGCATTCCCTTCAAACACTGGCACTAGAGAAGGATGCCCTCTCTCACTACTCCTATTCAATATAGTATTGGAAATTCTAGCCAGAGCATACAGGTAAGAAAAAGAAATAAAGGAAATTCATTTAGGAAAAGAAGAAGTCAAATTGTCCCTATTTGCAGAAGATATGATCGTATATTTAGAAGACCCCATCATCTCAGCCCAAAACCTCCTTAAGATGGTAAGCAACTTCAGCAAAGTCTCAGGACACAAAATCAATGTGCAGAAATCACAAACATTCCTATACACCAAGAATAGACAGAGAGCCAAATCAAGAGCGAACTCCCATTTACCATTGCTACAAAGAGAATAAAATACCTAGGAATACAAAAAACAAAGGAGGTAAAAGATCTCTTCAAGGAGAACTACAAACCACTGATCAAGGAAATAAGAGAGGACACAACAGATGAAGAAACATTCCATGCTCATGGTTAGCAAGAATCAATATCGTGAAAATGGCCATACTGCCCAAATTAATTTATAGATTCAATGCTATCCCCATCAAGCTACCATTGATCTTCACAGAACTGGAAAAAAACACTTTAAACTTCATATGGAACCAAAAGAGAGCACATATAGCCAAGACAACCCTAAGCAAAAAGAACAAAGCTGGAGGCATCACATTACCTGACTTCAAACTACACTGTAAGCCTACAGTAATCAAAACAGCATGGTACTGGCACCAAAACAGAGATATAGACCAATGGAACAGAACAGAGGCCTCGGAAGCAACGCCACGCATCTACAACCATCTGATCTTTGACAAACTGGACAAAAACAAGCAATAGGGAAAGGATTCCCTATTTAATAAATGGTGTTGGGAAAACTGGCTAGTCATAGGCAGGAAGCTGAAACTGGACCCCTTCCTTACACCTTATACAAAAATTAACTCCAGATGGATTAAAGATTTAAACGTAAGAACTAACACCATAAAAACCCTGGAAGAAAACCTAGGCAAAGCCATTCAGGACATAGGCATAGGCAAGGACTTCATGACTAAAACACCAAAAGCAGTGGCAACAAAAGCCAAAATAGACAAATGGGACCCAATTAAATTTAAGAGCTTCTGCACAGCAAAAGAAACAATCATTAAACCGGCAACCAACAGAATGGGAAAAAAATTTTTCGCAATCTACCCATCAGACAAAGGGCTAATATCAGAACCTACAAAGAACTAAAGCAGATTTACAAGAAAAAAACAAAAAAACCCATTCAAAAGTGGGTGAAGGATATGAACAGACACTTTTCAAAAGAAGACATATATGAGGCCAACAAACACAAAAAAATGCTCATCATCACTGGTCATTAGAGAAATGCAAATCAAAACTACATTGAGATACCATCTCATGCCAGTTAGAATGGCAATTATTAAAAAATCTGGAGACAACAGATGCTGGAGAGGATGTGGAGAAAAAGGTACACTTTTATACTGCTGGTGGGAGTGTAAATTAGTTCAACCATTGTGGAAGACAATGTGGTGATTCCTCAAGGATCTAGAAATAGAAATTCCATTTAACCCGGCAATCCCATTACTGGGTATATAACCAAAGGCTTATAAATTGTTCTATCATAAAGACACATGCACACATATGTTCATTGTGGCACTGTTTACAATAGCAAAGACCTGGAACCAACCAAATGCCCATCGATGATAGACTGGACAAAAAAAAATGTGGCACATATACACCATGGAATACCATGCAGCCATAAAAAATGATGAGTTTGTGTCATTTGCAGAGACATGGATGAACCTAGAAACCATCATTCTCAGCAAACTGACACAAGAACAGAAAACCAAACACCACATGTTTTCACTCATAGGCAGGTAATGAACAATGAGAACACTTGGGCACAGGGAAGGGAACAACACTCACAGGGCTAGGCAGGGTGGGGGAAGGGGAGAGGAGGGGGTACAACAGGGGTGGGGAGGGGAGGATGGGGAGGGATAACACCAGGAGAAATGCCTGATGTAGGTGATGGTGGGAGAGAATAGAGACAGCAAACCACTGTGGTATGTATGTACCTATACAACAATCCTGCAGAATGCAGGACATGCACATGTACCCCAGAGCCCAAATACAAATTTAAAAAAATATATCCAAAAAATATTGAATGACCTTCAAGTTACTGAAACATACTTATTTCCTGGACACAATAAGGGCACACTTACTTGTTTATAATGTTATATAAACAAGATTATTCATTGCAGAATTGTTTGGAATTGCAAAGACTAGAAATAATTTAAATGTCCATCTCTAAGGTATTGGTTAAATAAATTATGATATACCCATCTACAAAAAAAAATGTATGCACTTACATGGTCTGAGCTTTGACATATAGTAGGTGAAACGTCAAAGCATAGAAACAGTTATGATACCAATAGGTAAAAACTTAAAAGGAATATATACATGCATACTTACTTGCATATACCTAGTTTACACATATATAATGTATACATTAATTATCTCTGAAAGGATCTATTTAAGAATAAGTACTGCAAGCCTCCAGGCTAGGAACTGAATAACTGGAAGCAGAACTTGGAAGAGCTTAAAGGGGAAGGCCTCTCTGAGGTGACTTCGAACTGAGGCCCAAGTGGGAGGCAGTTAGTTATGGGGACAAAGCCTTCTTCAGACAGAACAGTGAGTACAAAGGCCCTAAGTGATAGAAGGAAGCTATGACTGAAGCTATGAGAAATTATTACAATATTAGGCAGGGGAGTAATGTAATACAGATTTATATTTATAAAAGCTTATTCCAACTTTGTAAGGAAAATGAATGGTAGCGGGGTGTAAGAAAAGAGGCAGGTAAGAGAAAAAACTAAAATAATCCAAGTATGATTTGATAGTGGCTTAGACCAAGATGTCAATAGTACAAATGAAAAAGAGATATTCCAAAACACAGCACGGTAGCTTACATCTGTAATCCCAGCAGTTTGGGAGGTTAAGGTGGGAGGATCACTTGAGGCCAGGAGTTTAAGACCAGCCTGGGTAACATAGTGAGACCCCTATCTCTACAAAAACTTAGCCAGGTGTGGTGGCATGTGCCTGTAGGCCCAGCTACCTGGGAGACTGTGGCAGGAGGATCACCTGAGACCACAGGTCAATATCATTACAGTATTAAGCAGGGGAGTAATGCAATATGGTCAAGGCTGAAGTAAAGCCATGTTCTCTCCATTGGACTCTAGCCTGGGACAGAGTGAGATTTGTTTAAAAAAAAAAAAAAAAAGCTATCCAAAATTTTTTTTTCAAAGTAGAACCTATAGTATATGTTTATGGATCTGACAGGAGATATTTTTTAAAAAGTGACAAGAATCCAAAATTACTTATATGCTTCTTGCTTGACTGGGTAAATAGTAATGTTCTTTTTTTTTTTTTGAGACAGAGTCTCGCTCTGTTGTTAGGCTGGTGTGCGGTGGCACAACTTCGGCTCACTGCAACCTCCGCCTCCCAGGTTCAAGCGATTTTCCTGCCTCAGCCTCCTGAATAGCTGGGACTACAGGTGCACACCACCACATCCAGCTAATTTTTCTATTTTTAGTAGAGACGGGGTTTCACCATGTTGCTAGGATGGTCTCGATCTCTTGACCTTGTGATCCCCGCGCCTCAGCCTCCCAGTGCTGGGAATACAGGCATAAGCCACCGTGCCCTGCCCTGGCGATGTTCTTTAGTAACAGTGGAACCAGTTTAGGGAAAAATCAAGAGTTCCGCCCATGTTAAGTTCTATGACGTCAATCAGTATCCAATTGGAGGTATAATATAGACAACTGATTCTACAAATCTGGACCTCAGTGGATGTCAGAAACAGAGTTATAAATTTGAGATTAATCATGCTTTTTACTATTTAAAACCATGAAAGTAAAAGATTTTTCTTACAGAAAGAACATGGATGGAGGAGAGAGCCAAGAACCAAGACATCCCCTTAGTACCCTAAATTCTACAGATATACATTTCTACAACTCCACTACTGTATGTATATTCTAGTAGGCTTCTCCTTTCATGTTTGTTATGTTATTTTGAAATATTGGCTGGACTGACAGAAGTAGTAAAGCTATTTATATAAATTCAATTTAATATTTAAGAGGAAGCCAAAATGTGTTTACAACTATAAATACTTACTGTACCAAAAAAGCCCATAAAGTAAAGCAGTTTCTTTTGACCATAGCCTTGAAATGTCCTAAGGTCTGGTTCAAAGAAGCTGAATGAACGAAATCACACAGACTCAGATGCAAATTACAGTTCCACCAGTTACTAGTTATATGACAACCTAGCTGCACTCTCTTCATGCCTTATTTTCCTCATGGTAATAAGAAGGCCATGTTATCTACATCTGAGTAGCAGTCTTAAATGATATAATAAATACCAATATGACACATATTAAACACTTCATAAATTTTATGATAAAATTAATATTTGTTAAGAAACAATAAGAGCCAGGCACTCTGCAAAGGACTTCACCTAGAGTCTCTCACTGAGTTCTCAAATAACGACCAGGAGAAACTTACTAGTAGTATTCCCAATTCCTAAACAGAAGCTGAGATTAGTTAAGGGGCTTACTCAAATCATAATGCACAAATTTAGTGGTTCTGTCTAATAAGTGGTGGTCCTAAAGCCCTTCTTTCTTATCGATTACATTGCAATGTTATTTTTTTTACACAGAAGAGTCATTTTTTATTGATAGCTTATTTTCATATTCACCTATAAAACTCTCATTTTGATATACAGTACGTTCTTCTTTACGTTACACCGTCATGACCAATTTACCTAGCAACTCGGGGGGACAGAAGAGATAGCTGGGTATGTGAGGAGTGTAAAGGCCAACGTAAGTTTCAGGAGGTACTTAAAGCATGCGGACAGTTTATCTTCTAAAGAAATACAGTCTGAGCCCACAAATCATAGCCAGTGCTTAGCTAACAACAACAAAAACCAGTAGATATGAGTTCATTTCAGCCATGGGCAAAGGTAGTTCTTTCGCGCTGCAAATGATTGTAGTTGTCACCTGTCGACGGAAACGCTCCCTTACGCCTACCACTGCTCTCTTGGTTCCCTGATCCCCATTCGGGCTGCCTTAACTTGCAATCTGCTCTTCTGCATCTATTTCCTATCCTGTCCGGTGCTCTCCTCCTCTCTCTCTGCTCAGACCGCCAAACGCCTCCAGGGATGTTTGGAGGGCTCTTTTCGAGGCGCCACCGTTCACCAATCCCATCCAGAGAGTCTTTAAGGCACCTTTTCAAGTGGAGAGAACACCCAGGAAACCCCTTCGCTTTTCCGGAGGTTGCTGGGGTCCCCCTTCTCACCCGCCCGGCGCCCGCAGCGCAGCAGAGCCCGCAGGTCTGGGGTCACTCGCGGCTCCCTCTGCAGCAGAGACGAAGGAGACGGCGGTGGGTCCCTGACAGACGACGCCCCCAGCCCGGCTGAGACTCGCGGGAACCTGCGACCCCGGACCCACCAGCCCCGGTTACCTTGTCATTATCCAGCCGCGTCTCCAGGATCTTATGCAGCTTGCGCGACAGCGGGTTGTTGGTCGTCGCCGAGGTCCCGCCTGCCCCATTGTTGAGGCCGTTCGCAGCCCCGGTCGCCGACACTGCTACCACCTCCCCACTGCCCTCTGCCATAGCGCAGCGCGTCCCGCCTCCTGCCACCTCAGCCAGGCAGGGAACCCGGAAGCAGCATGAGTATTGCGCATGTGCAGATCGCCTGCGCATGCGCTTCGGTCCCGGAAGGCTCCACCGGGTAACCCTGCCTGGGCTCCCAGAAGCTCGACGGATGAGAAGACACTGGGGGCGGGACAAGACTCTCAAGTGGGAGGAGAAATTTTATAGGATTAGAAATGACTTTGGAATTTTGAATCTGCGACCTTCTGAGCTAACTAGATGTCACTAGCTAAATGAAGTACGTAAAATCCACCAAGACTTGGGCCTGGCATATACATTCAGTGTAAATTAACTGAAAGTTTAAATTTGCCTTATCTGAATTCATTTTTTTTGAAAAGTATTTATTGAAGGCATAGTATGTGCCAGGTACTCTGGTAGGCACTGGAGAATCTACGTTATGTGTCTGAGACAGACAAAGTTGTTAATAGATGTTATTAGGTTGTGATGAGTGCTCAGGGCATGAAGTACAGTGAAAGAAAATGGAGGAAAAGGTCCACTTCACTCAGGGAGGCTTGGAAAGGAGTTGACACTTAAGCTGAGATTTGAAAGAGAATTAGAATGTGAGGAGAAATCATTGCCAGGTAGAAGAAAGTCCTCAAAACAAGATGAACTTGGCTCTAACACAAATGGACCAGAGCCCATGTAGCTGTAAAGTAATGGATAAGAAAGTAACAAGATGAGAAAACTTCCCAGAAAACTTTGGAAAACAAACATCATTGGTTTTTCTCCTTTCTTTTCTCAGTTTTTAAAATTTGGATAACAATAAAATCGCTGGGCTTATTTGTTGGAAACACTATTTGGCTCTTGCAATAAATTTTCCTTGTTTCATATATATCTTTATCCATAGTTACATTGTATATCAGACTTAAGGGAAAATTACCTATTATACAGGTCACATAAAGAAAACACTGACAAAACCACTCATCTCTACTCTAATAAAGAAAAGTTTCAACTATCCAAAAGAAAAAAAATATACAAAAAGAAACAATAGGTATGAATTCAATTAAAAAATACAGAGAACCTAGATGAAGAAAAATTTAAAGTGCTACTGGGAGAACATAAAACTTAAATCAATGAAAAAAATATATCATTCTCTTCAACAGGAAGACTCAACATTGTAAGATGTCTTTTCTCTTTTACAGATAAATTTAAGTTCAGTGTAACCAAAATTAAAATATCAAAGGTGTACCTAAGTGTATATCCACATGCATCTTGACTATACAAAATATTAATATAACATAGAGTTTGCCAAAATGTACAGTTAAAAGGAATGACAATGTTAAGATGCCAAGTCAGGAGGGGTAGGGAAATATCACATATTGTATGACTTCTATATGTGAAATCTCCCAAATAGGTAAATCCACAGAGATAGGAAGTAGATTAGTGGTATCAGTTCATGGTACAGGTTAGATTTTGGAGAGACGAAAATACCCTAAAGCTAAATTGTGGTGATGGTTGCACAACTCTGTAAATATGCTAAAAACCACTGAACTATATACACTTTAAATGAATGAATTGTATGGCATGCAAATTTCATCTCAAAGCTGTCTTTTAGGCCAAGTGTGGTGGCTTACACCTGTATTCCCAGCAGTTTGGGAGGCTTAGGCAGGGAGATCAGTTGAGTTCAGAAGTTAAAGACTACCGTGGGCAACATAGCGAGACCCTGTCTCTTAAAAAAAAAAAATACAAAAACTAGTTGGATGTGGAAGTATGCCTGTGGTCTCAGCTACTTGGAAGGTTGATGTGTGAGTATCCCTTGAGCCCAAGGGTTCAAGCCTGCGGTGAATCATAATCATGCCACTGCTCTCTACTCTAGCCTGGTTGACAGATCAAGGCCCTATCTTAAAATTGAAAAAAAAAAAAAAAGGTTTTATTTTAGAAAGTGAACAAGAGGTAAATAGACAAAGTTTAAGTAATTAAAAAAATTAATTTATATTAGTTTTTAAAAACTTTATTGAGATATAATTTACAGACCATAAACTTCACCTGTTTAAAGTATAAAATATGATAGCTTTTATTTACAGAGTTGGCAAATATCACCATCATCTAATTTTAAGACATTTTCATACTTTAAGAAGAAAGCTGTAGTGATTAGCAATCACTCCCCATTTTCCCCTCTCTACCATCTTAGGAAACCACAAATCTACTCTCTGTCTCTATAGGTATGCCTGTTTGGGACATTTCATATAAACAGAATTGTACAACATGTAATCTTTCATGTCTGACTTTTTCACTTAGCATAATTTTTCAAGGTTCATCTATTTTGTAGCTTGTATGAGTACTTCATTCCCTATTATTGCCAAATAATAATCCATTATATGGATCTCCTGTATTTTATGCATTTGTTTGTCAGATGGATATTTGGGTATTTTCCAATTTTTGGCTTTTATGAATAATGCCTCTATGAATTTTCATGTGAGAGTTTTTGTGTGGATATTTGTTTTCACTTTCCTTAGGAAGATACCTAGGAGTAGACTGCTCTTGTGGTTAACTCTATGTTTAATGTTTTGAGGAACTGTCAAACAGGTTTCCAAAGTGATTGCCCCATTTTTCATTCCCACTAGCACTGTATGAGGGGCTCCAGTTTCTCCACATCCTGACTAACATTTGTTATGGTCTGTCTTTTTTATCTTATCCTTCCTACTTACTCAGTGTGTTGTGATATCTCATTGAGATTTGGCTTTCCACTTCCGAGTGACTAACGATATTGCGTTGTAAGCATTATTTACATATTCTGGATACTAGTCTTATTATTTATTGGAAAATATTTTTTCTACTTTTGTTTGTCTATTCACTTTCTCAATGGCATCATTTGAAAAATAATTGATCTTAATTTGATGAGGGCCAACGTATCAATTTCCTTTTTATTATTTGTGCATTTGGAGTCTTATTCAAGAAATTATTACCCAACCTAGATCACAAAAATGTATTCCTGTGTTTTCTTCTATTACATTGGCACAAAAGTAATTGTGGTTTTTGCTATTATTTTCAATGGCAAAAACTGTGATAACTTTTGCACTAACCTAACAAAATTTTAATCTAAGTGCTAAAACTATAAAGTCTATCTTGTACCTTGAGCTAAGTTTTGTGTATGGATATTAGGTGGGGACCCAATTTTATTGTTTTAAATATGGATATTCAGTTGTCTCCTGCACCATTTGCTGAAAAGACCATTCTTTCTCCCGTCTGAGCTTTTCTATAGATTGAGAAAAAGCAGATGATAAAATCCAGTTTCCATTCATGATAAAAAAAAAACAAGCAAACTCTTAAAAATTGAATAGAAAGGGGCTTCCTTAATTGGATTGAGAGTATATACAAAACAAACAAACAAAAAACCCATGACAAGCATCACACCTAAGGAAATATTTAAAACTTTCTCCTTGACATCAAGAATAAGACAAAAACTATCCACTATCACTACTATTTAGTATTTCACTAGAGGCTCAAACCAGAATCATAAATTAAGAAAAAAATCATAAAGATTAGAGAGAATAAAGAAAAATTCATACTCTTTGTAGGTGATGCAATTGTGTCCCAAGGTAATCCAGAAGGATCTATAGAAAAAATGTTAAAATTAAAATAATAACCTTTCTCACACACATTTTTTTTCAAAACTCCAAAAAGCACAGGACCTTTGAATTCAACTAGCTTGCAAAAGAGGTTGTATGACGCTTTAGTGCCTCATTGCAAAAATATGTTTTTACATTGGTCACAACTTGCTTCATCAGTTATTATTGAAGAGCCCGTAAAGGTGATTAAAAATCTCACATTAAAAGGATATGGAGCCGGGTGTGATGGCACATGCCTGTAATCCCAGCTCCTCAAGAGGCTGAGGCAGGAGAATTGCTTGTACCCGGGAGGCAGAGGTTGCTGTGAGCCGAGATTGCGCCACTGCACTCCAACCTGTGTGAGAAAGCAAGACCCTATGTTTAAACAAAAGAAAAAAGAAAAAGAAATGGTTGAAAGGAGGGCCTTTCCAAACTCCTACTACTCTCCTTTAGATCAAACTTTCCAACCTAAGGCACGTAGCCTGCATGGATATGGCCTAGGACAGCTTTGAATGCCCAACACAAATTTGTAAACTTGCTTGAAAAGTTGTGGATTTTTTGCCATTTTTAAAAGATCATCAGCTATCATTAGTGTTAGTGTATTTTGTGTGTGGTCCAGGGAAGCCAAAATATTGGACACCATTGTTTTAGATGGTTACTTAAGCTTTCTTGCCCTTTGGCTTCTGAAATAAGAGGAAGTCACTTTGTATTGGCTAATGTGGCTTCATCAAAATACAATATGGCATTTATTAAAACTATGTCTAATGAGTCATAGAATGTTCAGCCTTCTGCATTTTTCATTGTGTTGATAATAGTAGCTCCCATTATTTAGCAATTATGTTTATTGAAAATTAGGCCCTGTGCTAGAATTTATTGTACACTATTTTTATCTTCACAGCTACCTTACAACATAAGAATTATTATCATATTATCATGTAATTAGTACTCATATTGATGAGTAAACGAAGACTAAAGAAACCTTTCCAAGGATATATGGCTAATTCAGATAACATAGCTAGGTACTACCTAAGTTGGTATTTAGTTAAAGGGTCGGGCCCGGCTCGGTGGCTAACGCCTGTTATCCTACCACTTTGGGAGGCCGAGGTGGGCAGATCGCTTGAGGTCAGGAGTTGCAGAACAGCCTGGCCAACTTTGTGAAACCCTGTCTCTACTAAAAGTACAAAAATTAACTGGGAATAGTGGTGCACACCTGTAATCCCAGCTACTTGGGAGGCTAAGGCAGGAGAATTTCTTGAACCCAGTAGGCAGAGGTTGCAGTGAGTCAAGATTGTGCCACTGCACTCCAGCCTGGGCAACAGAGAGAAACTCTGTCTCAAAAATAAATAAATACATAAATAAATAAATAAATGATTGTATTACTGCTTTCTTGGTTTTGAGTTGTGTACACCTCTCCCTTGGAATGTAAGCAAAAACTTTTTCAGCTAAACATTCAAATGTATTCTTGTTGGTGTTGCCTTGACCAAGTTCTTACTGCCGTCACACT